CCGTCCAGGTCTCCCCTGACACTGGCCCCTGAACCACAGCTAGTTTTGCAGATGATGGAACTGAGGCCGAGAAACTGAAGCAGAGAGCAGCCTGGCACAGCGGGTGGGACCCTGGGACGGCTCTTTGTGCAACCGCAGCTGCCTCTGCATGTCAGCACTTGGACCCGTGCAAAGGGGGCCTGTCTCCAGCAGACACACCACCACTTTCTGAGCAAACATGTCAACAGGCCCCCAAAGGGAAGGGGCTGAACATAGCCTCTCACTCCCATCAGAGCCTCCCCATTTTGAGAGTGGGTTAAGTGACCTCATGAGCCACAAATATCCAGTTTCGCTCAGGGCTTCTGTAACACTGAACATGGCACTGACTCCACCTCCCAGAGTCCCTGCTCCCCCGGAGGCCAGCACCAGCCCTTAGCTTGTCCCCTCTGCCCCCTTCCCCATAAACTCTCACATCTTTGAACCAAGGCAGCAGGACCTAAGTGCTAACCTGCCCATGTCCTTGCCCAGCCTAAAACAGTTTCCACTGCCCTAACCTCACGGGGACATCACAGCCCCCAGCCTGTGCCCACTGAAAGAAGTACCCAACCAAGATCAACCCATCAACGGGTGAGTGGACACGCCAAGTGTGCTTTATCCACATGATGGAATATCATTCAGCCATGAAAAGGAATGGAGTGCTGACACGTGCTCCAACGTGGATGCACCTCAAAACTGTAACACTAGATAAGAAGTCAGGAGAAAAGATCACATAGCGTATGATTCCATGTAGATGAAAGATCCAGAACAGACAGAAAGCAGACTGGTAGCAGGGGCAATAGGGGGTTACCATTTCATGGGAATGGAGGTTTATTGTGGAGTGATGAAAACGTTTTAGAACTTGATAAAAAATGGTGGCTGTACAACATCATAAATGTACTAAATGCCACTGAATCATACACTTCAAAATGGTTAATTTTATGTTATGTGTATTTCATCTCAATCTAAAAAAAAAAAAGTTAGTTCAACCCTTTTTACCTAAGACAGACCTGACTCCAACCTGCGTTTCCTATCCCCCCCTGACTAAAGTCTTCCAGAGGCTTCGATGGAAGCTTCTGGCTCACACCCAGGCTCTGCAGCGTGATCTGGCCTCTTTCAATGGAGGAGACCACCTGGTCCCTGAGGACAGGGCTCTGGGACTGTGAGGAGGAATCCCTAGGCCCTCCTCTCCACTAGCTGTTCAAGTCAGCTTCTTTCTCTACACAGAATGGCTGGCAGCAGAGGCTGGGCCTCATCTGTCATTCTATCCCCAGCACCTCACACAGGCGCCAAAGAGTAACATCAACCATAATAAGAGCTGGTACAGTGCCAGGTTCGTGTTACTCACTGAACTCGTGGTAGGAAGTATTATTAGCCCCATTTCACAGAAGAGAAAACTGAGGCACACAAAGGGAGCATCAGCTGCTCAAGCTCCCCTCCCAGAGTAGGCAGCAAGGCACAGATTAGACCCCCAGTCACTTGGGCTCTGCCCACACAGTTAAGCACTCGGGTCTCGGTGTCACAGCAATAAATGAGTCAGATAGTAAACTAGATAACCAAGGTCACATGCAGAAGAAAAATCCAGACTGTGTAATAACAGCTTCTAGACCTTCCAGACCAGAACGATCAAGGACCCCGTTACACAACAGGAACTGCAGCTCTGCCACCACCAGTCCCTCACCGGGGACTGGGATGGTGCCAAGGGTTTCCCACACAGCATTTAATGCCCCCAATTGCCTGGGCTGGGGAGGACCAGGTGAGAGTGAGTACTGGACGCAGAGAAGCTAAGTAAGTCATCCAAAGTCAACCAGCTGCTGAGCATGTATGTAAACCAGGTTGGTCCTACCCCAAGGCCCCCCCATTCAGCCCTGGCAAGCCCCCGCCACAGGCAGGCAGCCATGCTTCGTCCTCACCTGACTGCACACACCACCACCCCCCCCGCCGCACCCCCCAACCAGCGTGCAAATTCTGCTAAATGCCTGAGCGGTGACACAGTGCAGCTGAAATTAAGACGGGTTCCAAATACGACGGGATCTCCACAGCAAATGTTGGATCGTTTGGGTGGACTGGGGAAATTCTTGGATCCAAACAGGAGGTTACAGACATGTGGGCCCTGCTTTGAAAAGCAGAGAGGGTCCTTTCGGGGAGACTCTCTCAGTGGACTCTACACAGCATTTAGTTTACTCAACAGCCACCCGCTGGGCCCTCCCAGTGGGCCAGGCAGTGAGCATGTGCAGTAATCACCGGGCAGGGGGTCCTGGACAGGCTGGGCCTGAAGCAAGTGCCGTGGGGCCAGAGGGGAGAGGCCTGGGCCATTCCCAGCACCGGGTCGGGGAACAAAGGCACTTCCGTGGGCTCACAGCTTCAAATTGCAACAGGAAGCAATCAAGAAAAATAATGAGCTACCAATTTACTGGCTGCACTACGGACGGACGCATAAATCGAACACAGAAATCAGGGACATACCATATCAAGGTCAGTCCCAGGAGTCATCCGTCCATTTTAGGCCTGGGTCATCCCATCAGCTGGTGCTCTGAAACCCTCGTGCTGACATGCTTCCTAATGTTAAAATAATCAGCTCTACTTCTGCCTCACACACAACTCAACTCCACAGACATGATTCATCTTCTCAAGGGCTCAAACCACACGACGACAGGCATTCGCCTCCAGGAACGTCACCCCGAAAGGTACAGGAAATCCCAAACTGCAAGGAAGTGCAGATCAACTGAGCTGGCTAAGAAACCCCACCTTTAAAACAAACAGCTCCCCCCACAAAAAAAAAAAAAAAAAAACAACTAAAAACCCTTTTGCCTCCATGATCCAGGCATTTCCGGAAAGAAAAGGAGCAGCGTTGGCCTGAACTACCCAGATACTGTCATTGTTTTGTCGTCACCTTGTTTTGCTAGGATCAGACATGGCCGAGAAATGTAAACATGTTCCTGAGAGAGACAAATTTGGGGTGAAACCACCGACGGTCTCTAGGTTTAAGCTGGGAGGCAGAGGGACTTGAGGAAACCATTGCCTCTCTGCCCCCCAAACCTCAATGGAGGGGCCGCAGCACTGGGAATGTGACCACAGAGCCAGGCCAGGACACCTCCCTGCAATGTCCACACTGGAAATACCCAGGGAGACAGCTGTTTGCCTCGAAGAGGCTCAGACAAAGGGACCCGAGGTCCCCCCTAAAAAAAAA